TAAAAAATACTTAGAAGCCAAGTAGTGCCAAAAAATTGTGTTGCATTGCGCTTTCTATCTGCTAGTTTACGCTTTCTATCAGCTATCAAAGTTTCAAAATTCCAAAAGATTTTGAGAAATTGCCAAAGTTGGGCATGGTAAAAACCACGGAATCTAATTTTTAGCGATTATTGCAGTAAACAGAATAATTACCAGCACTGAAACAAGACAAAAAAGAGCAAGAAAAGCTGCGTCGGATTTTTGACGTCTGTCTGTTTTTATTCTACGAGTTTTTATGATAAGATGAAAAAACGAAAAAAATAAGAGCATTTGATCATTTTCTCAAATGGTTTAGTTGACGTAAGGATGATAAATGATTGCACTAAAGTAAAAGGAAACAATTTTTCAAATAAATAAATCAGATAAAAACTTCCGTTTTATGAGACTCAATTTTATTATATATCATTGTGTCTGAGACAATATTTCTTTGCGAGTAGGGTTTCAAGACAACTTAGACCATCCCTGTGCGAATAGTAAGTGACGAAAAAGCAAAAGAAACTGCAAAGTTTTTTATTCCAAAGCTAAGTCGCCCTTGCGTAAACAAGGAGAGCAACATTTACGAAAACATCAAGGAAAACAGCAGTAAAAATTCAAACGAGGGGACCGCTATTCACCGGGAAGAATTTGTCTTCCCAACGAAAGCATGAATGGCAGTGGCCGAATTTATCAACGTTGAGGTCAAACTCTACCTTAGGCTAAGATTTCGGCCTATAATCGTATTCACAACATGATCGCAAGGGCTTCTTCCGTGGTTTAAGTCTCAAAACGTATAACCCATATTCACGAATCACTTCTTTCCGTCATGCATTCAGGCTGAAACATAACGCTAGGATAGCTAAGTTTAAGAAATACCTTGACTTTGCACAGAATAGCTGTACTCACTCGAAGAACCCTTAAGTCTAATGGAACCGTTTTCAAAGACAATTATATTTGTATCTACTATTAGCTTAAGATTCACTTGTTACCTTGGTCTGTTTTCGTCTCATCTAGTCACGGTTCGCAAGGCTTTCAGTGTTATTTGATGGTCATTAATGGGCGACATCAACTCACTTAGTGACAAGTACGCATCGATGATTTGCTTTGACTTTGATATGGCAACCAATCGGAGCTTGAAAAAGTACTTTATGTGGATAATTGCAGCATTGTGTGAATACAAGATCACGAATTGGTACTTTTGTACCTATGTAAGCCACCTTGTATATATGCACACAAATTAGGCGAAAAAAAGGCCAATTTTTAGCAGGACGGTTTGCAGATATACAAGTTTACATCTTACAGAGTTTCGAGCTTTATTCGTCGGTATACATCATCTGTCTAAATCTTTGACTTTATTGATTGACTTTCCCTTGCTAATCAGTCAGTTCCATATGCCCTCCCAAAGTGCGAAGACTAAAACAAAAAAATGTGCTTTAATGGGAAACTGCAATTTTTGAAACTTCATCTTGTTGAGATTTTGCTGGGGACGAGTAGCGTAATGGTATTAAGGAGCTGTTATGACCATTGGATCAGAAGTTTGCAGTAGTTGGCAGCAAAGATGTTCGTGTCCACGGGATTGAAGCATGCGTAGGTCTGACCATCGCATGAAGATTTACTCGCATTTAGTAGCTCGTTCGATAAGGAAGCATATAGCGTTTGACGAGCTCCATAGAGCATACTGGCTCCATGAACAACTTCATACCTCTTTAACCACAAATACACCTTGCAGACAATTTTTAAAGATGCTGGTGCTGTTATTAATAAGGGAATGGTCAGAACGAAGTGACCAATTCAAGCAAGTTGCATATTATTAGATGCAATATGAAACGCTAACTCCAAATCTGTTTTCCTTATCGCTTTTGTGAATAAAATTTATAAGCCGTTAAAGGCCATCATTTTACTAACTATAAGAAATCGTGCATGAAAGGGGCAAACTTGGCCGTACAGAGCCATTTCCGGCTCAGTGCTGGACCAAAACATGCAACTAGGTCACATCACATCGTCCGTACCTAGAGTTAAGCTAAGAGGGTGAATGTGCCGAGTTTTGAAATGTACGATTTTTCTCGCAGTAAAGCTGCTCATTTCGTCCACAAAAGCGTTCTGCAGATGTGAAATACAGATTTGTAGATTGTTTGGATTGGCCACTTCGATTCCTGACATTCCCTCGTAAGTTGGAATTTTGCAGATGCTACAGCCGTAGTAGATGGAAGGATACGGTCACTTAGTCTGAGCTTTGCTCGGATGGATTGTACTTTTATACGTAATACTCACGTGCACACCCCTACAATTTTAGTTTTTGTCGCTCATTACGATTTTTAGCTTTTCCAAATAATGAAAACTTGCTAGATCTCTGGCCATTGCTCTCCATCATTATGCGGCTACATCTAGGCAATGTATTCATCTTGCATCAGTGACTCAATTGAGTTCAAGCAGTTTTCTTGAGGTTACGTGTTGACGTGGTACTCATTACTTTAGTTTACTTTTTACCTTACTTATACGTTCTAGGTGTACCATAAAAGAAACAACAAAATACATTAGCCGCCATCTTTTGTCAACTTATATAAGCCTCAGTAAATCGAACATTTGGCTTGCCTGCTTTTTTGACTGGTCATAGGATAAAAATATGCTGTGGTTTATATGTAAAAATCTTTTGACGCAAGTTCAATAAACAGCTTTCTAAATCTCTATTCACCTCTAAACGAATATTAGCTCAATGTGCTCACTCAGGCTAGACAAACGCTTATAGCATTCCGCTGTTGATTCTAAAGAGAATATTATCGACTTCAATCAGAGGTAAAAATTTTCGAATAGGTCAAACCGTGGCATTGTTCCATGCTTTCCGCTGCCAAATGAGCTTGTTCATTATTATTATTCTTTGGGCAGTACCAAAACAAAAATTGCCAAACTTCGCGTCAAATCCTTATATTAAATTCTTCCAACCGTTACTTCACTTTCATATATACTTTTCGAGCAATAATAAAGCAACTAGTTTTAACGATGATCCGTTTGCAGGTTTCACTAGAAACAAACTGACATATCGAAAATGGATGTAATGGTGGTTCTTTACATTCTAAACGTTATTCTGCGAACCATGATCATATTTCTGGACCTGCTTGTCATCCGAGCAGCTGTGAAAACTCGGGAAGTACTGCGCAATCATGTCTTTCTTCTCATAGTCACTGTCATGATAATAGACACCACCGCTTATTTCATTTTGATAGTCCACGATGTACCGAGCTATATATTAAATAGAGATTTCTCGAGTAAGGACTTATTATGGCCTTGTGATAATTACGACTATTTTACAACGTTTTGTTTTAGTCATCGGTACGCACTATCTAACGATACTTATTCTGTGCTTGCAGTGGTTTGCGCAGCTATTGTTTCTACCACTTTTAGCTATTATTCATTTCATAGCTCTTTTCTGCCCTCTCAAGTTCCGAAGACTTTCAGGAATTCATTTTTGGGTGGCTGATTTTAGTGTTCTTCTGCTGGGTCTTCTACTAACGGGTGGGTTTGCAAAATTAGTTTGTCGCACGTCTTCTGGACGAATGTCATGAAAGTCCGCAAAATACATGCAGGAATTAGATGACAGATCACATGTAGCGCACGATACGAGCTTTTTTTGCTAACATGCCCTCAATGTATGTGAATAATGGAACATAATGGGTGTGGGTGCGAAAATCTCCGACGTATTCTAATAAGTATACCAGCTATAACCCGACACAGCAATTTAAGCGAATTTAAGAAATTCAATCATATGGGTTCAACCTGGAGTAAAAAGGCCGAACGGCTTTACGCACAAAGTCTGAGCGGCATCCTACAGTACGTTACTGATTCGATACCATCTGACCAAGTTCAGCCTCAACTGTTTCCTTACTACAACAGGTCAGCCGATGAAAACTAACTCAAACAGGGTTGCTAAAGAAAGGCAGAGTTTGCGAAAAGTTGTTTATCACTTGATCTTATAGCGATAAAAAGCCATAGTCCCATAATTTGAATGGAATGCTCGACATTTAACTCGCTTAGTAATTGGCATCCATAGAGCCCAGGCAAGTGTCTAAACTGCGGGAAGAGACAAAAAAGGCCAATGGCTCGAATGAGCTCCACTCTTTTTCTGCGCACGACTCCTGAGATGATTTGATAGTAATTGTTATGGTTTCACTTTCCACCAAAGGCGCTAAAGACAATTAGAACTCAATAATCGCATCAGAAAATAGCCGGGTCCAGGACATATGTGCATAGGGTTTGGCTCTTCAGTGTATCTCCTTTCCGCTCCGTACATTGTATGCTGTGCTGCAAAACTTTCTCCTAATACAAAGACTTATCAGAACAAGTTGGCATGAAACGATTACTTTCGATAATTTTGGAAACTTTGATTATGCTGTAAGAAGTCACAAAAACAATTTTTGTAATTCTTGGTCGCGCCGCTGTCAGCACTCCCTTCCCTCACTCCTCACTGATAAAACCAATTATTTAGTTCATAGAGTGGAAGTAAGAACAAAGCTCGCATGATATTCCCTCGTAAATAAATTTTCCGAAGAATCTGCAAGGAACTTGTTATCAAAAATAGAAGGCTGAGATTTAAATTTTTGTTTAAGTGCCATTTTTCACGGATTATTTTGGTTATGTCTACCTTGTTAATGGTCATTATTGGAATTTTGACTTCAACAAACCATACACCTATCTATATAATTCTATAAACCAAATACTGCAGGTACCGTGTTCTCAATCAGAAGGAAGTTTATAATGCTTGATTTTTTGAAAACAGATATTCTGCGTTACATTTGTGGTCATTGTTGACAGCCTTATTGTTTGGAAGGTATTCAGTTTGCGACCGTCCACTAAACATGTGGCATTTGGTGCTAACGGCAATGGAGCAACACAATCTGCACGTTATCTCTTCGTATCATCTATAGATGGTGAATATCTATTTTCAGAGACGAAAAATCAGCAAAGAGACTCTTCTTGCAATAAATTTCCTCATGCTGAGTGCATGCTTTTTGCTCAAAACTGTGGTTTTCAACATCGATATGGGGTGAGTTTGCATTAATTCGTTGTTACGTTCAAAAAAAAATAGTGTCTGGCCAAAATACTGAGTTTGAGCACAGTACTAGTGGGTGAAGACCAAACATAGCCTGGCTAGGTGGAGTTGTTTCTTATTATTCACAGTTACAGATATGGCGCATGGCAACAACTGATCGTCAAACTCACTTCGAATATCAATTATTCTAAATGGGCACTATACGCTCTTGGAAATCCAGTTATTTCACATGCAATTTTGCACTTTAATAATGTGACGCCAGTGAGAACAGTATCAACACTTGTCACAAAGCTTTAGCGCCGTATTTGGTGTTTCTGTATGCATTTAGATCAGCGAAATAGTCACTGTGCGTACTAATACAGTGTAGACTACTGCGCTATTGAAAGCTAAAGGCGAAGACGAAACTGAATTTTGTTGCTGTGATGAGAAGTCCCCCCTCCCCCCTCTCCCGCCTTGGTGACACGATGGCGATCGCGCACATGATCCAGTTCTGCTACCTAAGACTAAGCCATTTTTTGTCTAGTTTTCAAAAAACAAACTGCCATCAACATATCAGACACGCTAGTTTGAAGTAATGACATACTGTAGCTTGCAACTGTAGGCTAATCATAGCATGCAGAGAAATGTCGCCATTGCGGACCGTGTCGGCGTCTCGGTTATCAAGTGAACTTTCATTCCACGGTCCGCTATCTCCCAAACACTCACTAACTTGATAACGGCGTCTAGGCGATGAATACATCCACGAATGTGAGGGCTATGTATTCTATGGTTGGTTCAGTCCGCTTAGGGAACGGCCATAGGTTGTCGATGTTGTCGGTGTTGTCGGTGTTGTCGGTGTTGTCAGTGTTGTCGGTGTTGTCGGTGTTGTCGATGTTGTCGGTGTTGTCGGAGTTGTCGGGGTCAGAACAGTTTAGAGGGCGCTCGAAACATGGAGGCTATCATGAGGTCCCACAACGACCGGCAACCTCGGCAAACCCGACAACCCCGACAACACCGACAACATCGACAACACCGACAACACCGACAACACCGACAACACTGACAACATCGACAACACCGACAACCTATGGCCGTTCCCTTAGCTTGACAACAGATTTTTTCCTTTTATTTGTCAATCATAACGAAACGAAAGGCTCGGCGAACGCTAACATCTAGCCACCGTGAGCCAGAGCTCACCATATGTGGTACACGAACAGGCTGGATATTGTTTAGGGGAGGGGGATAAAAATGGTAAGGGAATATCGTTTTGTAAGTCATCTGCTGAAGAACTACTAAGCTCAATTTTTATGATTTAGATTAGCCGAAACCTCTTAAGGGGGGAGGGGGCTGGATTCTCTGCACAAACATCACTTACGAGCTTCAGTACAGTCTCGGTAGCAGCGGGAAAATTCAACATTGTGCATTAGAAGCAAATGATTTGTTTACAACAAACAGGCAACGATGGAACCTGTATATGTACCTGTATTTGTGCAATGGAGAGTTGAGAGAATATATGGAAGATTATGAAAACGTCGTACGAAATGAGGGCTCAGCAAAATTCTTCTTTCAAGTTAAGTGGCCCGTGCTATTTGACGAGCCACCTGAGGGCCCAGAAGAAACAAGATCATGGTATTCTTTTCTCTTCTTTGCAATATTCTTATCTGCATCAGACACCAATACAGATACTATAGTACATCAATGCAGGTGCATTCAAGTCGTCAAATTCTTGCTACGGTTGAACACAAAATCTTTCGCTCGCAGAGGCAATCAGTTGAATTGCGGCTCATATGGTATAACTCGAATTTAACTTCGCATAAAAGCTATGAAGCCTCGTACTTAATAAAAACCACGGCCATCCAAGTTGCTTATTTCTTGAGAATGCCTTCCTGCCAAGACAAATATAGATCCATTGGATATAAGGCTATATCAAATTTTGCAATTAAGGGAAGTGCCCCGGCAAAACCGAACATCTCGAGATCTTGCTGTGGAAGGTTGCTTGCACCCCAAACATAAGAACTGAGCAGGCCGGGGGCACGGCATGCTGCCCCTGCCTAGGAAACTGCCCCTAAACCCGCATGCGCAAGGCATTCCTACACACGCTCGGACATCTTCCGTTTCCCCTCTCACCGTCAGGGGAGGCATACCGCAATGTTATAACCATGGGGTCTCACAACGACTCTGCGTCTCTAACCATAACCGAAATCGTTCCTCTAATCCTGATTCAAAATGACTGGTCTTGAAAAGTGCTGGTTTTCGCCATTTTTGCGCTCTTCAAGGTGGATTTTGGGATTCTGAGCGTCGAATCACCCGCATTAAGAGAAAAACTCTAAGTCGAGAATTTGCCGAGCCACCGGTTTTGAAAAGGCACTTCATACATCGCTTGACGTCACGGCATGTTTTGAATAAGCGTCAGTAAGCACTTTCCTGACCATGAGGTAGATTTTAACCTTGAGGTAGAATTGTGAATAGTAAAGTTACCTTGAGGCTAACTCTACCTCAACGAATGCTCTCAAAGTGTATTTTAATCTCAAGTGCCGTATTCATTATTGCTAAATTAAGGTAAATCCTACTTCCAGGTAGGATTATTTCTCAAAATCCGTTCATCAATGTACATTGACGTGAATGCTCAAGATTAATTCAACCTTGAAAATAATTTCATGTGGAATGAATGATATGTCGAGGTGATCGTATTCATCACACTTGATACCTTTACCTTAAGGTACAATCACAATAGAAACTTTAACCCTAGCAAAGGCAGTGTTAGAAGTGATACCTCTAGAAATCTACAAGGTTTTAGAGGCTGATTTTTCACACGAACACTGCAGTGACAAACCTGAACCTATTGCAGCAATTTTGTCTAATTTTTTTTTGAGATTGCCCAGAGTATAGACATGTAAAGAAATTGTGTTGTAAGTGTTTTAAACTCTTCTGAAACTGATGTACTGAACCAGAGAAAACCAACACATTCTTTATTTGCCCCAGCAGCATTTTGAGCGTCACAGATCCTATCAAACAGTATTTTGAGCATAGTACACTAAAACCACAAGCTTAAAATTGTATAACCCAAAAACAATCGCTCTGCAAGCTCTGTATTTAAGAAAAGCCAGTGTTGTTGACGTTCGTGTAATGCTATTCATTAGTCTGTTTAGTTGCTCAACTCAAATCCAACTAAAGTCATATTATCAGGGACATGTGGGTCAGCACTTTAACAGATAGTGAGGTTCGACTTCAAGAATCCGAAAAAATAGATAGAAAATTTTAGCCTAGCGAGAAAATTCTGACATTTTGCTCTTTATTTATTCGGTGGGTCCAAAAGGTCGTTCGCCAGATTTTCAAAAAATCATAACTTCTTTACTATTCGATGGATTTCTCAAAATTTATATTCATTGGAAAGAGAAATCCATTCTCTTCACAAAATGTTTTTGCCATGAATTGTTATGGGAAAGTTCTAGAGTTAGAAGCAAGTGAATGAAATTAGTCAAAATTCCATTTTTGAGGCAAAGTCACAACAAATTCTGGAAGTATTTTTGTTTGATAGAGAAATTTATGCTCTCTACTATAGTGCCTTTCTAATGAATTAAATCGAAAAAGATCGAGGGTTAGAAGGAAATAAAGAGAATTACTTCAGTTTTGCCTTTTTTTTGAGCATGTCAAAACAGCCCAGAAACGTCACAGAAAAGACGGAGAAGTCATAAACATACGTTTTGTGACCTTCTCTTTTTAGCTGATAGAATTTCGTGTCAAGCGAAAGCACTTTTGATTTTCGCGAAAAACGCAGACCCGAAAATCCGGAAATTTTAAGAAAATCAAAATTGCTTTCGATTGGCATGATTTTCGTTCGTTCTGCTAGAGAGAAAAGGTCACAAAACCTATGTTCATGAACCTTCCGCCTTTCCTGTGACGTCTTTGGGTTTTTTCAGCATGCTCAGAAATTGCAAACTGAAGTGATTTTCTTTATTTGCTTCTAGGTCTCGATCTGTTTCGTTTTAATTCGCGGGAAGGCACTGTAGTAAAGACCATTTTCTCTGTCAAATAGCAACAATTCCGGAATTTTTCGTGATCCAGCTTAAAAATGCCAATCTTGAGTAAATTCATTCAATTGCTTCTAACTTTCGAACTTTTCCACGCCATTTTATGGCAAAGATACTGTTGTAAAGAGAAAGCTTTCCTCTTTCAAAAAAAAATAATTCAAGAAAAAATTCCACTGAGAAGGAAAAAAGTTATGATTTTTTGAAAATAACTTCGAACTCACATAATTAGATGTGCCTCTGATGTATAAGTTTGTAATGCAAACATTGCAATCACAAAGCGTTTCATCACAAAATTTATATTTCCGTGATTTGGAAAGAATGTTGAGCAAAAATAATTCTCTAAACATCGCGCGTCTTCCTTATACTCAGAAGGGCTTAAAACTGTTATCACGTAAGTATTTCTGCAGCAGTCGATTGGCTGCCGCTGCTGCTGCAGTCCATTGGCTGCAGCGAATGCAACTAAGCAAATCCTAGTTGTGACTGTCTGCGAAATCACTTTTATGAATCATGCCAAAAATGTGGAAAGTGTTCGATGCCGACGAGCACAACATTCTTCACGTAGTAGGCATCGCAGCAAAGAAATTTCTTCCAATTCAGGTAAGTTGTACTCAGAAGCGAAAAATTTTCCGGATAGAATCTTAAAACCTAGAATTGTTGAACATATGAGCCCTATCCTCTCCAATTCACCAACTGTAGCGCTTTACACGCTGAAGACATAAGTATCCTCGCGTAAGTATCATGCAGATATGAAGAAAAGCAATTCACCGCAAGTACGCCATGACATTCTCTAAGAAAATGTCAGTGTTTATCTGCTGGCACAGGTAACTTTAACCTTGAGAGACAAATTTTGATGAATACGAAGTCATACCTTGAGGTAGATTCTCAAGGTATCGTCCCCTCCACAGCTCGTGCTACCCTTGGTTGCCTCTCATTGTCAGACCTGCCGAGTGTGGCGAACATGTTGGCAACGTGGCAACAACATGTTTGCAACATGCAGTAACATGTTGGCAGAACATTTTGGCCACGCCAACATGTTGCTGCATGTTGCCAACGTGTTAATACCAACATTGCCAACTTTAGTCATACGTGGCACGTCCACGACGCCAAAAGGGTAGCAGCGAACGAAGGGACGATAACTCAAATTGTAGAGTTCATTCTAATCTCACCACTGCAGCTGAAGCAGCTAGAAAAGTACGTGCCATAACTCATATATTCTTCGAATCTCAGACCCTGAGAACGCACGAGCGGCGGATTTTCAGTGAATGAAGAAGTTTGGGATAGCCGTAA